AAGATGCAATGACTTCTGGCATGCACTGAATTTTATCCCAACTCCCTTTTCACTTCAAATATCCAATCTTTTTTAAAATTCCCCCACTAGGTAATTGAACTGAACAAGGCCAAGTTGAAAATAGTTTCTTTAGTAAACCATGTGCATTTTTATAGCCACTCGAAATGTGTAATACAAAGCATGACACGTAGTTATGGACAGTAATGGGGAGCAGGGCAGATGGAAAAGAGCAGGACAAAAGAAAAGCATCCTGGAAACTTTGTTGACATATTTTAGAATGTATCTCTTACACTCAAAATCACAAGGTATAGGCAAAATGATTTTTTTTTTAGTTTTGGATAAAGTGGAGAGGGATTAGAACACCTGTCAGGCTTTTATTGTTACCTCTGCCCGTTGGGGAGATTCACCCTCTCAGTTTCCAGTCATCATCAAAGTGAAAGAAAAAGAGGATTTTGGTTTGTCTCCTCTGGGGAAATTTTCCAATGGTGACACTTGTTCTGATGACCTGGGGGGGGTGGGCAATGGATTCCCCTAATTTGCAAGCATTTCCTCTCCTATTTTGACTATGGGATGAGAAGTGAAGGGAATTCCTCCCAATGGCACACAGATGGCAAAACAAAAACATAAAATCTTACAAGGGCTATAACTAGAGATGAGCGAATTATTCAAAAATTCGATTCGGCTGATTCGCCGAATTTGCGGGAGAAATTCGATTCGATGCGAATTTATTCGCTGCGAATTTAACTTATTAAAAGGGTTTCTAGGCTTCAGAGAGCCTTTATATTAGTGCAGAACACTGTACCTTTAATTTAAATGCCCTTGGAGTCTGCTGGGGAAGAGAAATAATACTGTCAGTCAGTATGACATGCAGATGAGTGCCGTCGATCTTAGAATCACCGCACACTTCACTCATTTGGCCAGTCACGAAGAAGAAGAAGAATGAAAAAAGAAGAAGAATGAAGAAAAAAAGAAGAAGAAGAAGAAGAAGAAGAATGAAAAGAAGAAGAAGAAGAAGAAGAAGAATGAAAAGAAGAAGAAGAAGAAGAAGAAGAAGAAGAAGAAGAAGAAGAAGAAGAAGAAGAAGAGAAGAAGAAGAAAAGAAGAAGAAGAAGAAGAATGAAAAGAAGAAGAAGAAGAAGAAGAAGAAGAAAGAGAAGAATGAAAAGAAGAAGAAGAAGAAAAGAAAAGAAGAAGAAGAATGAAAAGAAGAAGAATGAAGAATGAAAAGAAGAAGAAGAAAGAAGAAGAAGAAGAAAAGAAGAAGAAGAATGAAAAGAAGAAGAAGAATGAAAATGAAAAGAAGAATGAAGAATGAAAAGAAGAATGAAAAGAAATGAAAAGAAGAATGAAGAATGAAAAGAAGAAGAAGAATGAAAAGAAGAAGAAGAATGAAGAATGAAAAAGAAAAGAAGAAGAAGAAAAGAAGAAAAAAAGAAGAAGAAGAAGAAGAAGAAGAAGAATGAAGAAAGAATGAAGAAGAAGAAGAATGAAAAAAAAGAAGAAGAAAGAAGAAGAAGAATGAAAAGAAGAAGAAGAAGAAGAATGAAAAGAAGAAGAAGAAGAAGAATGAAAGAAGAAGAAGAAGAAGAAGAATGAAAAAAGAAGAAAGAAGAAGAAGAAGAAATGAAAAGAAGAGGAAGAAGAAGAAGAAGAATGAAAAGAAGAAGAAGAATGAAAAGAAGAAGAAAGAAGAAGAATGAAAATGAAGAAGAAGAAGAAGAATGAAAAGAAGAAGAAGAGGAAGAAGAATGAAAAGAAGAAGAAGAGGAAGAAGAATGAAAAGAAGAAGAAGAAGAAAAGAAAAGAAGAAGAAGAAGAATGAAAAGAAGAAGAAAGAAGAAGAATGAAAAGAAGAAGAAATGAAAAGAAGAAGAAGAATGAAAAGAAGAAGAAGAATGAAAAGAAGAAGAAGAATGAAAAGAAGAAGAAGAAGAAAAGAAGAAGAAAGAATGAAGAAAAGAAGAAGAATGAAAAGAAGAAGAAGAATGAAAAAAGATGAGAAGAAGAATTCCAGTACAGCAAAAAGTGTATCTGCAGAGAGCTCCGCTATTTCTGACAGTTCTCTGACAGTTCCTTCACATTTACAGCGGTTGAAACATTGTATCTATTTATTTCCGAATAAAAACATCTGTATCCTAAATGGAAACAAATAGATACAATGTTTCAACTGCTGTAAATGAACTGTCAGAACTGTCAGAGAACTGTCAGAAATAGCGGAGCTCTCTGCAGTGACACTTTTTGCCGGCTGATCGGGGAAAATTCGATTCGTGCACCCGAAGTTTGCTAAAATTCGGAGCGAATCGAATTTTTCCTAATATTCGAAACAAATTCCACTTCGCCAAGTTCGATTCGCTCATCTCTAGCTATAACCCTTCATTACTCTATCCAAAAACAACAAAAAAGTTTTGTCTATAATTCTACTTGAACAATAAATACATTCCAGGTGCATCAAAACAAAATGCATGCAAGCTCTAACACAGTGGTTCTTAACCTGGGTTCGATCGAACCCCAGGGGTTCGGTGAGTCAGTCTCGGGGGTTCGGCGGAGGTGACCCACACCCGACTCATATGATTTGTGATGACATGCCCCGCTTGTCCATCATTGGCTGCAGGTGGTCACGCAACATCGCTTAGCCCAGTGGTCGGCAAGCCGCGGCTCTTGTGTGCCGGGCGCCCGCTCCCCTCCCTCCTCTCGGGCGGCAGGGACTCAAATGCAATGATTGGCCAGTCTCGCTGCCACTCACATCCTGATAGCCAGTGATTGGCTGTCAGGATGTGTGTAGGCGGGGCAGCGTGACGAACGTGAGAGGAGCTAGGCTCCTCTCACAGTCCGCCCTGAAGACCGGAACGGCGCGGGAATACAGCGAGAGGAACGCGCGGAGCAAAGGTAAGTGAATTGACACAGGGGGGACTTGATATGGGGGATGAATTAATATGGGGAATGAATTACTATATGGGGGATGAATTACTATGGGGGGATTACTATATGGGGGATATTACTATATGGGGGATGAATTACTATATGGGGGGGATGAATTACTATATGGGGGGAATTACTATATGGGGGGATGAATTACTATATGGGGGATGAATTACTATGGGGGATGAATTACTATATGGGGGATGAATTACTATATGGGGGATGAATTACTATATGGGGGATGAATTTACTATGGGGGATGAATTTTCATACCGTTTGTTACAACATATCTTTGCGAGCAATCCTTTGAGGATGCTGGACATAAAGACGAAGAAAAGGAACAGACTTTGTTGCGAAAATGACATGAGAGTGGCACTTGCCAAGGTAATGCCGCGCATTTCTGAACTGGCCTCTGAAAGACAACAGCAGAAGTCACACTGATTTGCGGTAAATATTCATTATTTTGTTTTTGTGTGAAAATCATGTTTTATGGTTTTGTTCTTGGTTTTGTTCATTTTGTGCACCTATGTATAAATATATACCTATGTTTTGAATTTTAAAAATCATATTTTATTTTTCCAATTAAGAAGGGTTCGGTGAATGCGCATATGAAACTGGTGGGGTTCAGTACCTCCAAAAAGGTTAAGAACCACTGCTCTAACAGTTTGTATTCTTTAAAGAGCAGCCACAGCATGAGTAGAAAATCCTGAGTCTTGCCAACATGCTGCAGAGTTGATCACAAAGATAAGCAGTGATCCTTTTACAGAAGTCCAACAAACCCCCTGCCAAGTTAGACGCGTAGCAATTCAATCAGTGCAGAGCATACGCTTTGCTGATTGCAGAGCTATAGGTCTGATTCAGTAGAAGCATGTCAGACCTTCACAGAGAGACCACTGCTTCCCCACAGAGTGCAAGGGCCCCGCTCTCCAGCCACTGGCAGGGGACAGTTTGTTCTATGAAGGCTGTAGTTGCTTTGGAAAGAAAATGAACTTTAGGACATTAAATACGTTTTGTTTTGATGTACCTGGTACATATTTAGTGGATTTAAACTGAGGGCTCAAATAGGCTTTAAAGTAAACAGTGTGAGATAGATCTGAGAGGAAAGATGTATTTGCTGATGATCAGCTTAACTTTTCATAAACTGTATTGCTGTCCATCTGCATATTCAGAACCAACCTATATCAACGTCAGCTTGCTCTCATGATGTAACACTAAATCTCTGTAACCAAAGGAGTTATGATTCCTCAATCAGCTGATTCAGACAGTTTAGAACAGATGATGAGGTATCTAAAATATTTGTTTGTTCTATTGTAATACAGAGAAGAACGGTTGAGAGGAACTTCAAATGTGTGATTAGTACATCATCAGAGCTTATACACATGGAAATAGAAGGGCAATAAAGATCGAAGTTCATACAAAAAGGTGTACCAATAAGCTCAACATTAATAAACATATATGTGAAAAAAAAAAAAAAAAATCAGTTCCCATTTAGTACTAGATTAATACCAACATCCTGAAGCTTGAACACATCCAGAGGCTCAGCAATTTGAACATTGGTATGTTTAACAAGTTACCAAAGACTTTGAGTGTCCTTTTTCATGCCTACCTGTTCTAGTAAATTTCATACTTTCGTCTTTAATCCCTGTGTACTGTAGGATCACAAAACATTCACCAGTTTGTTCATGAGACATCATCTGTGATCAACTGGAATCCATCTCTGTATCCACACACAGGACCTTTACTCATTCTTTACCACCTTTCTAGTCATGTGGATTTGATAATATCACACATAGAAAACGATTTGAACATTTTTTTGGTGGCTTCTTTTTTGATAGCATATGCTTTTACACATATTCTAATTTATTATAGCGGGCCTTAATAAAAGGCGAGTATGGATGGTAGCCAATGCTGCACTTTGAACAAACTTGTAAATGGTAGCATCACGCAAGTGCAGGAACAGCCTCTCACACCTGAAAAGTTTGGACCTCTTTACCAAGGAGCCTTCTGATGGTACACATGTGTATTGAACCATTTGGACTGGACGCTTAGGGCACTTGGTGGGGTGGGGTTGGAAGGTGCAGTCAGAAACTGAGGAAGGCAGACATACTAAAATACCTTATGCCATTATTTAAATATACGCCTACATTAAAATTAAGTAGACATGTGTTACCTTGTGCCTGTCTCTTTTTAAGAAGGGAAGCACACTGAGCATTCGTAGCCATATCCAAAGCCAGCTTTTTCTCATTATTCCTTAAGTCTGTTCTTGCTCCTAATCAGAACAAGCAAATGTAAGTAAATTAACAGAAAGATGAAGATTAAAAAATAAAAAGTTATTTTATAACTCAAACACTTAATAAAATAATCTGCTTTATGTAGTCTCACAGTTATGATTCAATCAATGTACTTAAACTTGCCTCAGCTGTTACCATCTGAACAATTCCTGCTGTATTCTAAAGCTACTATCCCACTACTTGATTTATATTTTCACTCAGAGAAATGTGAAAAGGACCAGCAGGACAGGACACAGCAGAAATTGCCCTGTAAGCAGAACTGCTTTCTGAACTCTTATTTAACACTATGCCAAAGAATGCTACCCAACACAAAACATTTAAAGTGGATTTATGTTTAATTTTACTTTCCCCAGATTGCACAGCTCCTGATTTCCAGGAAGCAAAAGGTCACCCCTGAGTTAAAGTGCTTGCAAACCCTTACATATACCCAACGAAGTAACTATTCTCTGGTGATACACAGATATTAAACAAATCCTCCTACATAAATTATACCCGTTTAAGTTGCAGACATTTGTCCTGTACATCCTTGTAAAACACAGAGATGAAAATGATTTTTCATAGACTCACAAAGCAGGGGGCAGGGAGCTGCAGTTACACACTGTACAAGAGCTCTGAGAGCTGATTGGAGGGAAGGGACACACTCCCCTTCACACAGCACACAGGAACAGAGCTGAGGCGGTCAATCATAGACTGTGTGCTGGGGTTCCTTCTCCCATCATCTTTTTACCTCTTGGTGTCAAGAAAAACTTGTCAGAAGTGACTCGTGCAGATAGCAGAGGAACTAGACAGCAGAGAGAAACTGCACTTGGTGCTCTGGAGAGAGGCGAGTAAACACCATATAAATATGTGATTTTTTTCAGATTTCATGTCTGAGGTTTACAACCACTTTAAACCCTGATATGATGCTAGGGCCATTTATGGGTATACATTCGCAACTTAAAGAGATTTTACAGCTGGTTTGAAAACCTCAGATTGACCTGGCAACCTGTATCAGCCATAGTTTTGGTTCTAATGTATCAGCCATAGTTTTGGTTCTAATGTAAGCAACTATAAGGCTTCTTTCACACTTGCTTTCTGATCAGGTCCATCTGTCAAGCAGACCTGATCAGAAGCTCCATGTACAGGTCTTTGGGCAGACAGATGTAAATGGACTTGTGCCTACCTTTGAGACTATCCTAGTCTGAAAACTTGGGGGATCTGAGGTAGCCTGATGTAAATGGACATCATTTACATCTAACACCCCATAGATCCAACACGGGTCTGCCACAGTCCGCCAGTAAAATGTGGACGAAAAAAAACTAAACAGGAACAGATATCACAAAAAAGTGACATATATTCAGTTTTGCTCCAATTCAGGTGATCTGTTAATGGATGCCCTGCTGAATGGAAGAGAGCATGCCCATGTAAGAGGACCTATAAGAGCTGATTCACACATGTGCAGTGCAGATTGAAGCTCAGGTTTCACACTTAATTGATACAGTAGTTGTTCAGTGGTTCAGGTCAGGTTTACATCAGGTTTAGATCAGGTTGAGGTCAGGATTTTACCCTGTTCACAACTGATGACGTGCAGTTTAGAAATGGTTCCCATAGAAGTCAATAACCTGTAATCAGCACCTGAACCAGACCGCACTGCTCAGAAATCGGATAGGACTCTTTCAATCCGCACTGAATCCACACCGCCAGTGCACCAGACATATGTGAACGGGCAAAATAGGAAGCAATGTTATTTCAGATGTCATGTGGATTGGACACGGTTCAAACTGCATCCAATCCACATATATGTGAACCGCCACTAAATAAAGTCATGTTTCTGTTAGGTCATACAGTACAAAGTAATACCTAAAGTTTTAAAAATAAACTGGTTTGAGCAGAAAACTTAAAAATAAACTTGCGAGTAAGTTTTAACAAAATCAGGTGCTTCATCATCCCTTTGGGGTGGACACATTTTTTACTTCAACATTTAGATTTACATCCTGCATCCCCCAATGAAAAGCAAACAGCCTGAGCATCAGTCATATGTATTACAACAGAAACCCAGCCTGCCAGTAAGTAAAGCAGTGGCTTCCTGAATAGGATTACAGTTATAGAAACTGTGAGTGGTGGACAGCCAGATCTTGATGCTGACGTTATACAGAGTGTGACCACACCAGAAGTACAGAGCAGAGGCATATAACCCACAGACATAAGCAGAGCAGGCCTAGGACCTACTTTTATTGCACTCTGAATATATCAAATTTATGTAGCTAGGAAAAGTAAATGCATCACAGTGTCTCTCAGAATTCTCTGTAATACCAGAGACAAAGATAAAAACGGCAACAAGTTGATTAGCATTGCTTTAAGAAGACTATAAATAATAAACAGCAGTCAACGCAGTAAAATAATGTGCCTAAACAATAATTGATGTATGCAATAAATCAGTGGACGTTATAGAGCTAGGCTTGTGCACTGAATGTAATTTCCAAGAAAGATAAATTCCCATAGATGCTACTTAATGACATATTTATAATAGGAATGTTTGTCATAACAAATGACTTTTCGGAGGTCTTTTGTCATAGAAAAAAAAAGCAATGTGATAATTACTTTGCATGAATGATGAAACACTAAATCTCACCTTTCAAGAGGAGCAACTCTACAATATCAGCGTATCCCTTCCATGCGGCAGCATGCAGAGCAGTGTCTCCAAGCTTATTCTGGACAAAGAAGAGGGAGATTGCTTGTCATTATTTTGAGATGCAGATACTGTAATATTTCTACATTTTTATTAAATTTGCCTAGAGAGCCACAAAAAAGGGTTTTTTAGTTTAATATAACAAACTGACCAAAATATTTTTAAACACTAGTAATTTAGGATGAAACCCTCTACAATTAATACATCTTACTGCATGCAAAAAGGCCAGAGTGAAAAAAATGAACACATCGTTCACTGTATACAGTTAAAAAGTGTTGGGTCACATTTACAGATTATCTGTAAAAGTGAACACCGGACCCTCTCCCAGCCCCCTCACCGTTCCCCACTGTACTTACCTCCCATGATCCTTAGCTGTAGACTCCCATAAACTGAACCACCAGTCTAGGGATTTGAAATCCCTGCTGCTTTCTCACCCTGCAATTAATCAAATCCAATTAGAATCTGTCTGGTCCATCCTGGCAGCACTGAACGGAGGAGAGAAAGCAATGGAGATTTTAAATCCCTGGACTGGTGGAGGAGCTTGTGGGATCCCTGACAGCTCAGGATTGCAGGGGGTAAGTACAGCAGGGACAAGGGGGTGGGAAGGGGGTTCGGTGTTAGGTCACCTTTACAGATTTTCTGTAAAGGCGAACACTTTAATAAACAACTTAGATAATTGGTAATTAGAGCTAAAATGTGTGAACCATAGACATTTGATCAGTAGAAACTAACCCGCTTTGGGGCCCTCCCAAGGAGATTCTGCCATAATGTACATGTATGCTCAGCACATTTGAACATTATGACAGACTTGTGCTGCAAATTGCTCTTTTCTAGCAATGCTCTCCTCCCATGGTACCATTACCAGGGCTTCCATCTTCAGTAAGTCTTCTTCTGGGTTCAGAGTCTTTGGCTGCTTTGATAGGCCGAGCCTGGGTGAAAAAACTCTAACCACATGTGCTTAGGAGTTACTTCATCCTTCCACAAAATCATGCTAAGACTGTACTCTGAGCTGCACATTTATGGTGTACACTAGGAAAAAAAATGCTGGCAGACAGGGGGAAGCATTTACAAACACATGAGACATACAGAATCTCTTCCGTTTTAAAAAGTCTACCTCTCAGTATTTTTTTTCTCAAACCCGACTTCAGTACAGGTAAGTTATGCTTTAAAGATCTGTCTGCCATAAGGTCCCTGTTCACATATTTATAACTCTGTCTAAAAGAATAGCCCTACTTTGCAGCTATAAACCAAAGCCATTTTCCCTTGCTGAATGTGCATTTACAGCTAAAACAAACCATTTGCTTACAGTCTAAAAGTCAAAAGTAACAAAAATAGATTAAAATGCTTACCTGCTGGTTTAGCTCAATATTAGACTGTGCAAGTAAGGCCTCCACAACATCTAGGATAGAATTAAAAAAAAAGTTATACATGTGTTCCTAAACAAATTCAAATATTCTAAGAATAGTTTGGCTGAATAGATTTTCTATTGAATACATGTACAGGTAATCTCTGGGCAAATGGACGCCTTTAAAAAAAGCATCCAGAACTGCTTCCCATACTGTGCTTATTTGTTTAGCTCATTACATCAAAGGTTTAATAATATCATTTAGATTACAAAATTAGTTGATGCAAAAAATTAATACACCCCACAACAAAAACTACTACTACATCTAGTATTTTGTATGACCTCCATTATTTGTAAGGAAGGACCAAGTCTTCTAGGCACGGAATGAAGAGGTTGGCGACATATTGCAACATCAATATTTATCCATCCTTCAAGAACGACCTGAGCTTGGATGCTGGATGGAGAGTGATGCTTAATTTTTCTCTTCAGAATTCCCCATAGTTGTTTGATTGGGTTCAGATCAGGAGACATACTTGGCCACAGAATCACTTTCACCCTGTTCTTCAGAAATGCAACAGTGGCCTTAGATGTGTGTTCTGGATCATTGTCATGTTGGAAAACTGCACAACGACCAAGGGCACGGAGTGATGGTAGCATCTTCTCTATCAATATAGAGCAGTACATCTGTGAATTCATGATACCATCAATGAAATGCAGCTCCCGAACACCAGCAGCATTCATGCAGTCCCACAGAAGGACACTACCACCACGTTTCACTGTAGGCACCATGCACTTGTCTTTGTACTCCTCACCGTTGCGACACCATACAGTTTTGAAGCCATCAGTTCCAAAAACATTTATCTTGGTCTCATCACTCCAATGTACAGAGTCCTAGTAGTCTTCCTTTTCAGCATGGGCCCGGTCAAATTCTAGATGGGCTTTTTTGTGCATGGGCTTTAGGAGAACGATATCCATGCATGCCATTCCTCTGCAGTGTATGCCGTATTGTGTCCTGGGAAACAATCACCCCAGTTTGGCTTTCTACTTCCTTAGCTAACTGCAGTGAACTTGAATGGCGATTTTTTTTAACCCTTCTCATCAGAAGATGCTCTTTTCAAGGTGTTAACTTATGTGGATGGCCTGGACGTCTCTGTGAGATAGTTAAAGTTCCATCTTTGTTACATGTTTTATCACTTTTGCTACATCACTCTGACTAATAAGTAAAGCTTTGCTGATCTTCTTGTAGCCTTCACATTTCTTGTGTAAAGAAACTACATTTTCCGTTCTCAGGCCTTGTGACATTTCTCTTCCATGTAGTGCCATTGCCGACAGCATGAAATGGGAAGAGATTTTCTTTGTTAAGTAATGCCCTTTTATAATCAACTGTCTGCTGGACAGTTGTTTAATAAATAATTAGACTCATCTGTAGTTGAATTCTTGTTAATTAGGACTTTGTTGTCTAAAATTTAGATTTGCTCCTAAGACTTTCATTGGGTGTATTAATTTTTGCAACGTGGCCTTGAATGCATTTGTTAGGAAAAATACTTATGTGTTTTCAAAGTAACAAATCTTGTTTGCAATCAATGGCTTGCATTTGTGGGAGTATTTTGTAGTATAGTGTCCTGTAGAAAATGATGATTCTGAAAGGAAAAGTAAAGGCTTCCTGACAAATCTGTTGGGGTGTACTCATTTATGCTGAGAACTGTATATCCACCTGAAAACCAAACATTGACTGGGATGTTTTGTTTAAAAGTTTGATACCGTATTTTTTGTCAGGAAATTACTTCTAACCCCTGTATTTCTTGTTATATAAATGTTCTGGGGTTAGAAGTAATTTTCTATTTTTTTTTTTTTTTAGCAAAGACTCTAGAGAATGAAATAGCAATCGTTGCAGTTTTTCATGTCACATGGTATTTGCGCAGCGTTTTTTCAAACAGTTTTTTTTTTAAAAAAATACAGTTTGGTGAATTCAAAAAAAAAAAAAAAAAAAAAAAAAAACCCCAAAACAATATATACCCATTTTTTTGTAATATAAGAAAGAGAATGTTACGGAAAGTAAATAGATACCCAACATGTCAAGCTTTTAAAACTGCACACGTTGTGGAATGGCGACAAACTACTTAAAAATATCCACAGGCAACGCTTTAAAACATTTTTTACAGGTTACCTGTTTAGAGTTACAGAAGAGGTCTAGCGCTAGAATTACTGCTCTTGCTCTAATATTCGCGGCGATACCTCACATGTATGCTGCGATCATTGTTTACATGTGCATTTGCTTGTGCACGCAAGCACGGAGGAATGGGGACGCCTTAAAAAAAAAAAGTTAAATTTTTTTTTTTTTTTCATTTTTACACTGTCCCTTTATTTTTCGATCACTTTTTATTCCTATTACAAGGAATGTAAAAATATGCATGATAGGTCCTCTTTAACTACTTGCCACCCGGCCTATGGTCAAATGACGGCCGGGCGAACACTTCGCCCCTCTGGGAAGGCGTCATATGACGTTCTTCCCGGATCACTCCTTGCACGTGCCCGCAGGGCCGCGCTGTGGCACGATCTGTCACTGGCCGTGTACCTCAGACACAGCTGGTGACAGATCTGTGTGCTGCCCCGTTGCCAGTACCAGGTGACCAATCACAGCAGGTCACATGACAATTGTATACAAATGGATGGCTTCCTTTCATGCCATCCATTGTATACAACTGTGTCTAGCTGTGAATGGTCACAGCGATCACATGCACAGGCTGGGCCAATCACAGCCCATCTGTGTTATGTGATGAGCCGTGGCTAAACAAAAAAAACCTGAATGAATTGATTTCATTCAGTTAAATGCTTGATAATAGCAAATAAATAATTTGCTATAAGCAATCAAATTGTGTAAAAAAAAAAAAAATACTGATCACTTCCCCAAAGTAGTACAATGTTACTATGGTAGCATTATACTACTTTGGTCATAGTGCAATATGTAAAAAAAAAAAAAAAAATCTTTAAAAAAAAAGAGAAATTATGCAATAAAAAAAACAAAAAACAAAAATGAAATTATATATTTTTTTTTTTTTTGTACGGTCACCACTCAGTGTTCCTGATCACCGCCATGCCAGTTATATGATGACGCTGTACTGCACTGGTGACAGTATGCAAAAATAAAATTGTGAAAATAATTTTTTTAATTTCTTCATTTTTTGAAAAATGACAAAAAAAATTACAACTTCCAAAAACTCGCCATGCCTCTTATGAAGTACGTCGGACTGTCTACTCTGCAAAAATTGGTCATTTGGAGGATATCTGTACTGTTCTGACATTCTTGGACCTCAAGAAATTAGATTGGCTGTCAGTACTTCAGGATTGATCAATATTCAGATCTATACCATAGTTTGTGAACTCTATAACCTTCCTACAAACTAAATAATAAATACTGATTTGGGTTATTTTCACCAAAGAAATGTAGCAGAATACATTTTGGCCTAAATTTATGAAGAACAATTATTTAATTTGCAAACTTTTATAACAGAAACAAGGAAAAACATGTTTTTATTTCAAAATTTTCAGTCTTTTTTTGTTAATTTAGCAAACAATAAAAACCCCAGTAGTGATTAAATACCACCAAAAGAAAGCTCTATTTGTGTGAACAAAATAACATTTTAGTTTGAATGACAATAGCGCGGTCATGCAACACTGTACCCAAAGTGTGAGAGCGCGGAAACCTGAAAATTGGCCTGGGCAGGAAGGGGGTAAAAGTGCCTGGTATTAAAATGGTTAAGGAGAGACCCCAAAGCTCTCCTTAAGTTATGCTTTAAAAAGTAAAAAAAAATTGTTTACATCCACCACCGACTGGAAGTGATGTCATGACCTCACTCAGGTTCTCCATCGTGATAGAGGCAATCAGAGACCATAGAGTCTCATCTCTTCCATCTTCAGCTGGCTGCACAGTCTGATCGTTTTTCAGGCACACCGGTTTTAACAGTGAGCCCGAGAAACCCCAGTGAGTGGCGTGAGGGGAGGAACGTCCCCTCTTGCAGCTACAGAAAGCGATCCAGTGGCTGAAGAGCTACTAGGACCACTTTCAATAGTAAGCCGCCTATCAGCTGAAGAAAAAAAAAATACCGGGGTTATGGCAGATTTCTTCAGCCATATCCCTGGTCAGCCACTTGAAAACGGCAACATTTATTATAAACGTATTGCTGTCTTCAAGTGGATATATGTTAAAAAAAAGTGTGGAAGCTTTTTGAAGAACCCTCATAAAATCTGACATTCTTTCAATGGAGACTTGGTATCTAGAAAGAGTATTCAATTTCTTCTACTCCTGAACCAAGACTTCTTTTAAGGACTCTTGTAACTTACCACATAGCTTAAGTTTTTTTTTTTAAATTTGTCATATCACTCTGCAAGACTGGTTTGTGTAGCCAGCAAGTTATACAATACTCAATCTGTCTCTCTGAAAGCTGAACTCTGGGCTAAAGAAACTTTAAATACAAGAATGTGTATTCTTATTTGACACTTGATTCACATTATGCAGGCTAGTTGCAGGTGCGGGAATCACATCCGAAACGCACTCCCCTTACTAGATGCAAGGGACTGCCATTCAATCTGAATGGCACCCCAAGTGTTTCAGAAAGCAGTGAGATTGCGGGTACCACAGGGAAACTGCATGGCCAAAAAGACCATGCAGTTTCTCTGTGGCTGCACTTTTTTGCATGGAAATGCCGGCACAGCAGCCCATTCAAATGAATGGGCTGCTGAGCCCAAGCAAACGAGGGCGGCACGGCCCGTAATAGTGTGATCCGAGGGTGAATCTTGGTATCTTTTGTGAATTACTTCCAGATCTGTGTAGTATTCTGCCATGAAACAACTCCTGCTCTCTACCTCTGAGTAATAGCTTTCTGTGATAAGAACTAGTCACTGCTGTTGCCTCTCCTTGTGAATGGTCTGTTATCTACACCCCCATCCTGGTAAGTTTTTTGCAGTCTGTCTGTAGTGGGGGGGCATCTGCTGGGTTACGTCTACAGTTCTGCTCTTTAAACAGACTATGTCCCACACAATGAGGAGTTCACTGCTACTTTTACAGGGTAATAACTGTGTTTGTAAGGAAATGAATGAAAACTAAGTAGGTTTAGGGCTATTGGAGAATATATATAAATTAGTTTTTGTGCCTAGATTTCAGCTTTAATAACGGTTTGTGGACCGGATGCAGCAGCGGTGTGCACTGTGTAAGCTGTATGTAGTCTTAGTTATATACAGTATACAGTACTATTTTCCAGCAGTGGTATAGGACTTACTGTCCCACACCTGGAACAAAATTGTGTCGGGATGAGTGGCACTTAGCCTTTCACAGGGAGCTTTGTACTCCATGAATGAATACAAAGCTCTCTCTAAATGGGCGATTTGGAGATTGTGAAGTCATCTGTAGCCAAGACTACATACAGCTTATAGAGCGCACAAAGCCGATGCATCTCTTAGTGAAGGAAATAGTTTGTTTGGGCCAGCTTGGTCCATACAAACTATTTAAACATCATTAAGGCTGGAGATGAACTTTTAACTTGTATGTAAGATTTCAAACTTAATAAATATTCATTTAAAATAGTGAAACCAACCTTTATGTCCTCCGTGGCATGCCCAGTATAGAGCAGTGCTTCCAGCTTTATCTAACCCATTAACGCCAACTCTGTTTTCTAGACACTCTCTCAACCAACTCAGGTTACCTAAAAAGTCATCAAAGGAATTAGATTTCAAACAAACACATAAAAAATTAAAACAGCAAAAACTAAAAATGTACTATATTGCAGCTTACCAATCTTTAAAGCAGAACTCCGGCAAAAAAAAAAAAAAACATCTTTACATGTCCCTTGTTGCCGATTTCCTACCTTCACTGAATGTCATCCATCTTCTGATTCACTCAGTAGTTGCTCTGATATAGCCTATTCATTTTCAAATCAAACCGTTAATTCTCCTTGGTTTCCTGTTTGTAAGACCAGTGGCTGCTATGCTTCCCATTCCCCCAGCCACTGTCTTGGCACATCTCTTCTGTAGTTCTTTCTCCAGGAAGCAGTGATGTAATTCAGCCCCATTTGCAGTGGTGGGTTGACCGGGACTCCCAGACACATTTAACATGTACTGGCCTAGTGTACCTGACCACATTCACTACAATTCCCTGTGATTGATGAAAACTGTAGTTTCCTTTTACTGCAGAGAAAGGGGCGTGGTATGATGTAATCCCTGCTGTTACATCTCTTCCTTGGCAGATCAGATTCAGTTATCTTTTGAATTACAGAGATGAGGTCATGAAAATTCAATTAGACTTTTCTCCTAAATGGTAAGGATTTTCTACATTTTATTAACAGTTTAGTGTAAGGGGTGTACTAATGGGTGATTTTTTTTTACCTATTCCGGAGTTCTTCTTTAAAATGTGGTGACTGCATTAGTTTTCTTTTTCCCCTTCATTTTGCCTAGTGATCCCGCCAGTAACACACTTCCTATCTTAGCGTGTCTACATTCTGGATGAAGTAGTAAAGCGGACACCTTTAGACAGCAAAAAATGGTCAGTCTGGGTGGAGGGTAGTATTAGGCTGGCCATATATAAATAGGTTTGTTTTTTTGTTTTTTTTCATTCAAACAGTGAGTTGGGGGGGGGGGGGGGGGGGGGGGGGGGGGGGGGAGAACAGATTCCCCCTTCCACACATTTGAGGCAGATGGGGGAAACCTCCCCACTTTGTCTTTGTATTCTCACAGCCTTCCGAATACACTGGTAAGAGCTGCTGCCTATTGCCTGCAGAACTGACCGAGCGAGAATATATTAACTGGGCGGTTAAACAGAAGACTATCTGTAGATTGACTTCTGTTCAATTACAGTGGCCACACATGGTTCAAAATGTGGCCATTCCCTGCTGAACCGGGCAATTTTCGATCTATGTATGCCTTTAAACTGTCAGGTTTAAATGGACTTAAACAAACTAAAACTCCAGCTAACACTTTATGAGCAGCTACAGCACCTTTATCCTTTTGGGATAAAGGTTTTAACATAAATTAATAAAAGCCAACCATTGTAAGCACCCCTGTCAGTGTTAAACTATTTGTATTAACCCTCTATTCCTGCTTTGTCTGGACAGCTTGGTCTGTTTAAGCAAGATGAAGAAAAAAAAATGGTCAGATCACCAAGTGAATAAAAAAAGAAAACAAAAATCCTAAAAAAGAAGAAAGCTAATGCAGCCATCACATTTAAGATTGGTAAGATGCAATGTAACATTTAACAAAAGGAATGCTGCTGAAGGTCAGTCAAAAACACATCTCATACACCTTTCAGTCAGGTGCCAACCCAGCTTGCAAGACTGCACAAATGACCAAGACAAGTCCGGATGGCTGCACTCCAAAACTCGATCCATTTTATTCCAGGACAGGTGAACACAGCAGCATAAAATAACAAAAAAAAAAAAAAAAAAAATGGCACAGTGCAGGATAGAAAGGTTGATCTGTTTCATGCTCCTCATCTCAAATCACAGAAACGTGTCAACCATGATGAAGAGCTATGGAGCGTGAAACAGGTCAACATTTCTCTCCCCGCTATGTCATTTTATGCTGCTGCGGTCATCTATTCTGGAATCAAAATGGATTGCATTTTGGAGTGCAGTCATCCGGACTTCTCTATTGGTCTCATGTACAGCCTTGTAAATCGAGTTGGCACCCGAGTTTCGTCATTTGGACTTTTCTGTTGCATTGTAATATTTTGAGAGAACATTTTACATGGCACAATCTAGAGCATCTGTTAGTTCCACATAATTTATTGAAAAATCATTCAAAACACATGTGAACCACAGACAATGCAAACAGAAAACAATGGACATTGATCAAGACCATTAACATGGGGCAGTTTAAAATGGGACCACATAAAGGGTACATTTGAAATTCATATTAAACCTTATTTATTTTGGGTAGGCTTATGCATAAAATAATGCTTACTATATATCTATTAAAAGGTAATCTATGATATTTTTATTTTTAGATATACAAGAGAGTGGGTTGAACTGTACTGTACATGGAGGCAGCAGTTATTCACCTATACAGTGGGGAACATTCTTATTTGATCCCTTGAAGATTTTGTAAGTTGCCCACTTACAAAAGAAATGAAGGGTCTATAATTTTTATCATAGGTGTATTTTAAAATGATAAAAAAAAAAAACAGAATATCAACCAAAAATCCAAAAGAAAAAAAAAACCACATGATACAAATGTTATACATTGAGTTGCAGTTCAGTGAGTAAAATAAGTATTTGATTCCCAAGCAAAACATGACTTAGTGCTTGGTGGATAAACCCTTGTTGGTAAACACAGAGGTAAGACATTTCTTGTAGTTGGTTACCAGGTTTGCACACATCTCAGGAGGGATTTTGGTCCACTCGTTTTTAGGGATCTTCTCTAAATCCTTAAGGTTTCTTGGCTGTCACTTGGCAACTCGAAGTTTAAGCTCCCTCCATAAATTTTCTATAAGATTAAGGTCTGGAGACTGGCTAAGCCACACATAACCATAGTATGCTTTTTCTTGAGCCATTCTTTTGTTGCCGTGGTGGTATGTTCTGGGTCATTGTCATGCTGGAAGACCAATCCACGACCCATCAGTGTTCTGGCTGAGGGATGAAGGTTCTCATCCAAGATTTTACAATACATGGCCCCATCCATCAGCCCCTCAATGCGGCAAAGTCAGCCTGTACCTTTAGCAGAGAAACAGCCCAAAGCAGAATGTTTCCACGTCCTTGCTTGACTGTAGGGTTGGTGTTCTTACGGTCAGTCAGCATTATTCTTCCTCCAGTGAGTCGCATTAATGCCAAAGAGCTAAATTTTGGTCTCATCTGACCACAGCACTTTCTCCCATTCCTTCTCTGAATCATTTAGATGTTCATTGACAAACTTCAGATGGGCCTCAATCAATCCATGGTGACATATTGTGTTACTAATGGTTTGTTTAGTGACTGTGGTCCCAACTGCCTTCAGATCATTCACACAAGCTCCTCCTGTGTAGTTCTGGGCTGATCATTCACTTTTCTCATGATCATCCTTACCTCACAAGGCGAAATCTTGCATGGAGCTCCAGACCAAGAGCAATTGATGGTTATTTTGTATTTCTTCCATTTGCGAATAATCATTCCAACAGTTGTCTCCTTCTCACCAAAACTTCTTATTCATGGTCTTGTAGCCCATTCCAGCCTTGTGTAGGTCTACAACCTTGTCTCTGACAACTCTTTGGTCTTGCCCATGATGGAGAGGTTTGAACATTTGTATTGTGTTTTTTTTCTGGATTTCTGGAGAAAGTCTGTCTCTATAATTTAAAATACACCTATGATAAAAAATAGACCCTTAATTTCTTTGTAAGTGGGCAAACTTTAAATCTGCAGGGGATCAAATAATAAATTTTCCCCACTGTACATATATATACACCTATCATTCACAGGCTCTGCTTCCTGCTTTGCAGTATCACAGTTGTGCTTCCAATAGTACAAACCTATGAGTTGGTGAAAACTACAACCTCCTATAAAGACACCTTATCCCAATTAGTTAAGCTGGTGATCAAATGAGGACGAATCATATACTTCTAGTACTGTAGCTAATTTACAAATCTATACAATTAATAAAAAAATATGAAAGAGCAGACACATAAAAATGTGTGTGGTGGCATCTAAATAGCTTAAATGCAGTAAACACTGCAAAAGTAACAGTGTTCCCTTTCTCTTTATGTACATTCTTCTATTGGACCACCAAAAAATTACTATTTATAAACAAAAAATTTCAGCCTCAATTTGATTAGATATGTTGATAATCATACAATGATTAAAGGTTTAATATTAGAACGTACAGTGCATATAATCACTAAAGGAAATACTAAATTAGCAGATCACCTCAAGCAAATGAGTAAATGTGTATAAAATGTTATTTTAGCTGAAGGGCAAATCAAGTTTTCTAATGCACAATAATGGATAATACATACCCCGTTTAGAAGCTTCATGCAGTGGATTATCAATTGACTCGGCTTGTTCAGCAACTGAAAAAAAAAAAAAATGTATGCAATTATAATTCTATCATCTATAACTCGTAAATATGTATAAGATTTATGACAATGTATAAAAAATTACTGAATGGATATGTTCGTCCAAAAGGTTGGACAAACATATCCATACTCCATATTCTTTCAGGACTGCTGCTTAGAGAACCCAACACCCACAGCATAATCTCCTTCCTTTACAGAACTCATCTCCACACTAGAGTGCCAGTTCACATATATGCGGATTGGATGCGGTTTGATCTGCATCCAATCCACATGACATGTGAAAAAACATTGCTTCCTATGGTGCCTGTTCACATATGTCCAGTGAGGATTCAGTATGGTTTGAAAAAGAGTCATGTACGACTTATGAGCAGTACCTTTAGGTTCAGATGCAGATTACAGGTTATTGCCTTCTATGGGAACCATTTCTAAACAGCCTATGTGTGAACAGGATAAAACCCTGAGCAAATTCTGTCTTGAACCTGATGTAAACCTGACATGAACTGCTGAACAACTACTGTGTCAATTAGCTGTGAAACCCGAGTTTCAATCCGCACATGTGCGAATCAGCTCCGACTCCAACAAACTCCCATACATAAAAAAGGGGTTAACATTTTGAGTACTATAGAGAAGTGCTCCACTAATATCCTGTCCTCGGAAAGCACCCATAAGGCTCTCTTCTACTAGTACACGACACCATAACACGACAGGCGTAACCAAATTCATATTTTGAGCTCTCTCCAAATTGTTTCCAAATTTTGCAATCAGGAGGTCCCTTTCTACATACATATTTGGTGGGAATGTCCTAAAAGGTACAATGTAATTAGATCAATACTAGACATTCCTTCATAACAAGATACTGGGTACAATGACACAAAACAAAATGACAGAAATTCTGAAAAGTTTCAAAGAAAAAAAAACATTCTTCAAGATATGGTCTCATTGGTTGACCACCAGAACATATCTAGTGTGCACCTTCAACTATTATATTTTTTATAAACAAATTATAAACACACTTCACCAATCAGGCTCTCTCGACTACCTCCAGACCCCACTTATCTAAATGCACAGCAGGCTTTTTTGCACTGACTGCCAACGTAGGGCAGCCCTTTGGCACTAGCTGCAATTGTAAGGGGCCCTTCTCTACGGACTGTCAACTCTGATGACTTTTGGACTATTTATTAAGGAAAATTATATTATCCTGAAAAGGAAATTCTAAGCTGACTGTCATGGGTTAACATAGTTGGTTGATTTCAGGTGACCTTCCAGGAAGCTACCATAAACAAATGAGTGGAAGAGACCTGTTTAAAATACAATAAGAATAAACACCACTATTTGAGTTTTTGCAGATGCACAAACACAGTACCATAGTTTGACAATGGTAAGAATAAAACCTTATTGAATCTAGTTCTCCCAACACCTTGGAAGATGTGTAATCGCCAAACAAAACCTCTGAGCTATCACAATCAGCTATTGAATACTTGAGGTTAAAATCCAGTCCAGTAAATAACTCTCAGGGAGGCTTAAAATGTCTGTTTACCCTAATTACCCAACAATGGGTGGGGTTTTCTATAGGTCATATCTCCTTGAACTGTGCCCTCAGCTCAAGAGTAAAAAACTTGGTTCATTTAAGATAAAAAAAAAAAAAAAAAAAAAAGCTTGGTATATATCTTAACTGAAATATTATCAAAAGGTATATACCCACACACCAAGATCTATTTAACAAAGTTGGGTACTGTATACCACTCAACTGAAGCTCATGAAGTTATAAAATGTAAGATGGTTTGTTGGGTAATTTACATATCTCCAAAAGGAAATCAGTAATCCCAATACAGCTCATATCAGAAAAATGAGACACCAAATATATTCACATATTTCTATGGTCCTTATTCGAGAATTAATGGGGAAATCATTTATACCTGAATAGGACCCATATATTTTATCCATAAAGACATACTGTTTATATCAAAGGGTGAGTCATCATTAAGATCACCAGTTCATTTGCGATACCTGACTTTCCCCGGTGGACAGGTAAGGAACTTCTAAAGGTACGCAAACGTTTTAACCGTCCAATCAACAAGCCCGTTGGGAGGTCCTTCGGAACAAAGGACTTGTATGGTATAAAAATGCCACATACCTCAAATTGGGGAGGACTTCACTAAACTGCTTCTAAAAATCACTTCTTGATCACTTCTGAACTACTTCTGAAACAACTTCTTAACTACTCTACTACTACTATATACCGCACTATACTCACTTGCTTCCTGCTACCTGTGGCCATCTTGCAGAGAACTTCCAGATGCCATTTTTGAAGGAAAAGATTTTCACCAGAGACGCTGATGCCGATTTAAATTCTGGTGCCTGACTGACCAGAAACACTCTCTTTTCCCAACTGCATCCCACTGGGAGGCCTCAAAAAAAAAATTGAGATTCTGGGAGTGGTGAGACTGTGCCAAACTACTGAAATTTTCTTATATTTAAACTTATTAAGATTTACAACATTTTATTGTGTCGGTAGGAGTGTATTAAGGTTATCTGAATAATTATTAATGTAACTGTGTGAGTATTGGTATTGAGATCATATACTGCATACTAACTGATTTGCAGTGTTTTTGTGGTGCTAATTACCAGAGATACTTTCTTATTTCCCTACCGCCGCGGGAAATTGGAAATAATATCTGAAGCACTATAGGTTGCAAATAACCCCTCAAAATTTTGTTTTACCTCATTTGATAACCATATCTTGTATGATACCGTAGAGATAAGCATACTATATCTTTGATTGTGTGTACGAATATATTCATTACCAGTATTTTGCGTTTGTATATATATTATATATATATATATATATATATATATATATATATATATATATATATTATATATATATATATATAATATATATATATATATATATATATATGTATTTATTTATCAAAAAGGCAAATTTTGTGTATATGGTAAAAAATCACATTGCTGAAAAGAACTCAAGGAATATTATTAAGTGGTGATCAAATTATTAAGGTGTCCAAATTATTGGTTTATTAAATATTTGCTGTATTTTAATGGCTGGAGGTACTGCAATATTTTGTTCAAGGGAGTTGACACCGCCCTGTTTATTTAGAATAAATTTTTATCATAAACCACCACACAACTTAGAGGGGCCCTTCGCTACTAACCAATGCAAGGGATGTTCAATTATATTGAACAGTTATGAATGATTCATTTTAAATTTATTTATTTTTATTAATTAATATTGATTATTTTTATCAATTAATATTTTTTTAGATTATCTAAATTTTTTTTTTTATGTATATTAATGAGTTGCACATTTTATATATTTTTTTATATTTGGAGAAATTAAGGGTAATTATTTATAAATTAAAAAATTATTTGTTAATAATTGATTTTTATTTATTTATTCATGGTTCTAATTCAAGGGCGCAGCACCATTACCTTTTTTAACTTAGAGGGGCCCTTCTCTATTAACAAATGAAAGGGGTCCATCTACACCAACAAGGACATTTACATTCAGAGCCAATGTAAGGGGCATTAACACTCACCGCCAAATGTTTACACCCATTCAATCAATTTAACCGAACCACACATACCAACTGCCAATGCAACAAGGGCATTTAATGCAGTGCAAACGTAAGGTGGGAGTTTACAACCTCCGTCAATGTGACAGGACTTTCATTAAGAAGACATCCTTTATACAGAAGTTTGTGAACGTGGGTGAAAATTGGAGGGACACTTTGGCGTCCACAGTGCGAAAGTAAGCAGGCCACTTGTCAACAGTGGTAAAGGGGCTTGTTATTACAGGTGTAAAATAGCAGGCGCAGCAGCAATTTTGATGAAAAAAAAGGGTCCAAATTGCTTGCGTTCTATGCATTCATCCATGGATGCATACTGCCGTAAATGTTAGTACCATTCAGTGCAACGCTCAGTCCTGTCCTGCCGCAACAGCTTTCAGCCTCTCTTAGAGTAGCGGGTCTGGATGGTGTGCCTGTGGCTTCCACCTGCATAAAAAACCCTGGGACTCAAGCACTGGGGCTAAACAACCAGTGTGCATGAGGCCATGGTCTAAGTGTTTAGCTATATAGCAGTGTCAGAATCATTCATGTTCTGTTCATTCATTTGGTTTAGCACAATAACACCAGAGCATACTTCCAAAAGACATAGATCTGTAAAACAGTTGAATAGCTTACCATAATTGCTTGGTATGAGTCCTGTTTTTCCTTTACAAGTACCTTTCCACCAATTTGTATCACTCTGCAAAAAGAAAACCCCTCACAAATCAGTAGCTATTATGTCAATAGGTAAATCCTGTTTTTTTTTTTTTTAACAGCAAAGTAATACAATTAAAAGAGAAGTATTGTTTATCTTTTTTTTCTCTTTTAAAGTCATACTTACCTAGGTGGATGCAGCATCAGTAGATGATGCATCTGTCCCCTGCTGGCTCACATGGACCGCTGATCACCGAGTTCTTACAGCTGCTGTTAAGAGTGGTGACGTCACTGCTGTCTGCTCTGCCACTCCCAGCGCTGCAGTGAGAGAAAACACACACACACACACACACACACACACACACACACACACACACACACTTTCACCATACATTAAAGAGGTGTTAAACCCAAAAATTAATATATTGCAGCGTACCAATTATTATAGGTTGGCTGCATTAGTTTTCTTTTTCGGCTTTTCCCCCTCTGTTTTCACCTGAACTGTCCAGTAACACAGCTCCAGTATTAGAGTGCCTACACTTTGGATGAACAGGGACACCTTTAAACAGCAGCATTGTCAGTCTGTGGAGAGGTGAGTGTTAGATGTACTAGTAGATGTAAATACACTAAAAATTGAAGCCAAACTGCAGCTCACACTTTATAAGTGGTTACAGCAAACAGTTCTGTACCTTTTGGAATGAAGGTTTTACATAAATAACAGCTGATCATTGTAAGCACCCATCAGTGGTAAATGGTTTGTCTCATCCCTCTTAACTGATCAGTCTGCAGGACAACTTGTCCTGTTACAAAAACAACAGACTTACTGGCAGGATAAGCAGATAAAAACAAAGGAAAGCAAGCCTAAAAAGAAACAAATGCAGCCACGACATCTAAGAATTGGTATGCTACAAGTTAAAAAAACTGTTTGATTTTGGGTTTAGTACCACTTTAGATACTGACTAGTCAGCCATGTCCCTTCCTACTACTGGTTAGTATGACTGCCCATCACAGTGATGGGCAATAGAAAAGCACATGAGATGGAGAGGAGTGGGGCCAACAATAACTACAGCACTGGTCAGTGGGTTTTCAGAGTGGTTTTATGTAGCATTTTACTTAACATCACACATATCTCTAAGTTTTGATTAAACCTTTAATTTGAATTAAGTACCAATGAACTTCAAAAGCAGCAGACAGAGTTAGTGGTAATATATAAAATGTCTAACAACAAACTCACCATGTCTGCAATGTACAGAACATCCCCTTCTTCGAAATAGAGTTCATCAGGCTGAAAACCAGAAAAGTAAAATATTAGAATACATGGATTAACATAGGAAAATGGTATATTTGCATGTGTATGCAAGGCCTTGCTTGGGGCAGATGGTCTTTTCTATTATAAATGCTTCTCCCTGCTTATAGAATTAATGTAAGAAGATTGAAGTGCCCACGACCAGTGGGAGCACTGACAGCAAAACGCTGGAGGGCACGGTTTGACAAGGAAGTCTGTCATAATGGGCTAATAGGCTGTGCATACTAGCACAAAATGGCATAAAGCTCCTGGGAGCCCATTTAATAATTTAAAAAAAAAAAAAAAGTAAAAAATATTGCAGTTTCATTTAACTTTACAAATGATGGATCAGTGTTGCTGCCTGTCACATAGTCATGTGCAATGTCTGGCAGTGCTAAGCCTACACTGTTAATAGGCATTTCATTACTAAAGAGGCCCGGCCACTGTGCCTGCCTGTGTGATCGGAGCAGTGGTCAGGCAGCAAGCTCAGTAACACTGTGATTTTATCAGACTCATCACTGAGCTGTACCAGATCGAGTGTCCAGTACTGGGCACATCTCATGTAAACAAATATCCACAAGCCCTCTCTTTACCCCCTTCCTGGCCAGGACATTTTTTGCGATACGACGCTGCGTTATTTTTTGTTATTAATATCTTTTATTAAATTTTCTTTCAATACATACATTATCAAACATAAACAACATTAACTGTCCTTTTCCTATACCCCCCACCCCTTCTCAATCCCTCCCCCTTATCCCAATAACTCCCCCTATCCATCTATATTTTCCCTAGCCCTTTCTACTAAAAACCTATAGTCAGTCTACATAATTGCCACTCCACAGTTGTTCAGTTTAAATCTCTAAAATCAACCTACTTTGTACCCATTGTCCTGAGATATTTTTCTGATGATTTAAAACATGCCACCTATTCCATTCTTTTCTAAATTTTTCTGTTTTATCTTCCACTGTGGTATAACTCCTCCATCGTGCATATATATTCAATCCTCCTCATCCAATCTCTCATTGTTGGGGGATCTGGAACCCACCAAAATTTAGGGATTAATCCTTTTGCAGCGCTAATTAAAATGGTATATTAAACTATTTTTATACTGTTTTATTGACAACTTGGTCCCATAGAACAAACCAACCCACGAATCCTTTTGGATAGTTATCCCCACAATCTCCTGTATATATCGTATCGTATTATCTCTTGCCAAAACCCCTGAATTTTTATACAATCCCACCAAATGTGAGTCACAGTCCCTCTTTCCCCACAACCCCTCCAACATAGTGGTGAAATTTCTTTCTCTGTTTATGTGCAACACTGTGTACAATACCACCTAGCAAAACACTTACAGTCATGGCCGAAATTGTTGGCACCCTTGATATTTCTCCAGGAAATCATGTATTTCTCACGAAACGTATTGCATTAACACATGTTTTGCTATACACATGTTTATTCCCTTTGTGTGTATTGGGACAAAACAAAAAAAGGGAGGAAAGAAAGCAAATTCGACATAATGTCACACAAACCTCCAAAAATGGGCTGGACAAAAGTATTGGCACCCTTTCACAACTGCGGATAAATAAGAATGTTACAAGCATGTGATGCTCCTGTAAACTCACCTGGGGCAAGTAACAGGTGTGGGCAATATAGAAATCACACCTGAAAGCAGATAAAAAGGAGAGACGTTCACTTAACCTTTGCATTGTGTGTCTGTCTGTGCCACACTAAGCATGGACAACAGAAAGAGGAGACGAGAACTGTCTGAGGACCTGAGAACCAAAATTGTGGCAAAATATCAACAATCTCAAGGTTACAAGTCCATTCCAGAGAACTAGATTTGCCTTTGTCCACAGTGCGCAACATTATCAAGAAGTTTGCAACCCATGGCACTGTAGCTAATCTCCCTGGTCGTGGACGGATGAGGAAAATTGATGAAAGATTGCAACGCAGAATAGTCCGGATGGTGGATAAGCAGCCCCAAACATGTTCCAAAGACATTCAAGCTGTCCTGCAGGCTCAGGGAGCATCAGTGTCAGCGCGAACTATCCGTCGACATTTAAATGAAATGAAACGCTATGGCAGGAGACCCAGGAGGACCCCACTGCTGACACAGAGACATAAAAAAGCAAGACTACAGTTTGCCAAAATGTACTTGAGTAAGCCAAAAGCCTTCTGGGAAAACGTCTTGTGGACAGATGAGACCAAGATAGAGCTTTTCGGTAAAGCACATCATTCTACTGTTTACCGAAAACGGAATGAGGCCTACAAAGAACAAAACACAGTACCTACGGTAAAATATGGTGGAGGTTCAATGATGTTTTGGGGTTGTTTTGCTGCCTCTGGCACTGGGTGCCTTGACTGTGTGCAAGGCATCATGAAATCTGAGGATTACCAAAGGATTTTGGGTCGCACTGTAGGGCCCAGTGTCAGAAAGCTGGGTTTGCGTCCAGATCCTGGGTCTTCCAGCAGGACAATGACCCCAAACATACGTCAAAAAGCACTCAGAAATGGATGGCAAAGAAGCGCTGGAGAGTTCTGAAGTGGCCAGCAATGAGCCCAGATCTAAATCCATTGAACACCTGTGGAGAGATCTTAAAATTGCTGTTGGGGGAAAAGGTGTCCTTCCAATAAGAGAGACCTGGAGCTGTTTGCAAAGGAAGAGTGGTCCAAAATTCCGGGTGAGAGGTGTCAGAAGCTTATTGATGGTTATAGGAAGCGACTGATTTCAGTTATGTTTTCCAAAGGGTGTGCAACCAAATATTAAGTTAAGGGTGCCAATACTTTTGTCCAGCCCATTTTTGGGGTTTTGTGTGACATTATGTCATATTTGCTTTTCTGCCTCTGTTTTATATTTGTTCCAATACATACAAAGGGAATAAACATGTGTATAGCAAAACATGTGTTAATGCAATACCTGTGTGAAATACTTGATTTTCAGGAAAAATATCAAGGGTGCCAACAATTTCGGCCATGACTGTATAATTCATTTCTACTGTGTTGATATTTACCACTCCATGCATCAACTTATACATTTTATTATTTTGTTGCTCATTCATTTTTGTACCCAGCTCTCTTTCCCACCTCTCGAAGAAGGTCCTGCCCATTCAATAAGAATCTGATATATTCTAGAAATTATATGTTTATAGGCGGAGCCGCAGCTCAACATTTTTTTCAAATGGAAGCATATCCTCCAACATCCTCAATGGTTGGGGAAGTGCTGAAACAAAATGACCCAACTGATATCTAAATTCATCCAGTGAATAAAATAAATTCTTTTTTTACTCTTTAATTCCTGAAGTTTACATAACTTTTCCTTATCAACTAGATCCCCTAATTTTTATTACTAAACCATTTCCCTGAAATGTGATTTCCTGGTGGAAAAAGTTCAGTATCCACCAGGGGTATCAATAATGAGTTATATTCCGAACCCAAAGATTTGAGCACCCCCCATCCCACACTCTTAACACCTCCCGTGTCAGTGTACTATTCTCTTCATCCAACACTCTATATTTTCGTGGAATCCAAATAATCCTCTCCAACTGTACATTACTTAGTGTATTTTCAATTTTAACCCAACCTTTCCCTTCCGAATAAGTCCAATCAACCACACTTGATAATAATACCGACATATAGTACTTCCTCATATTTGGCAAGTTCAGTTCCCCTTTCTCCTTGTTGTTACATAAGATCTCACTTTGAATTCTAGGTTTCTTATTAGCCCATATGAACCTCACTATCATTTTTCTGATCTCAAAAAAGGATCCTGGTAAATATATGGGGAGCATCTGAAATTTATACAGGATTTTTGACACTATCACTGCCTTAACCAGGTTAATACGACCTATCCACAAGACCCCTCCTATTGAGAGTCTTCTCAACTCATCCTTGACTTCGTTTATTAATAGGATATATTAGCTTGATATAAATTTTTTATTGAAGGAGTTAGTTTTATTCCTAAATAACTTAAATCTCTCTCTCTCTCTCTTCATATAAAGGGGAAGTCTTTTTGTAGGTACTGTGCTTCTACTTTTGATATATTGATGTTCAATATCTCAGACTTTAATAGATTTATTTTTAAAATTAGACAGCTCCCCATATCTCCTTAATAATCCCATTAGATTTGGCAGTGTCATTCTAGGATTCACAATGTAAAACAACATGTCATCCGCATACCCTGCTACCTTATGTTCTACTTCTGCCACCTTAATTCCCCTAATATATATATTCTCTCTTACCATAGCCAACAATGGTTCCAGGGATATAACAAACAATGGCGACAATAGGCATCCTTGTCTAGTACCATTATGCATTTCAAACGATCTCGACAAGGACCCATTCACGTTAATAGATGCAGTCCCTTTATCCATCTTACCATTTTACTCCCTATTCCCAACGCTTCCAGCATATTAATCATAAATCCCCAGTCTACTCTATCGAAAGCTTTTTCTGGTCTATTGACAATATAATCGCCGATGGTTTCCCTTTCTTTACTTTCTGTAAGAGCAGCAGTGTTCTTAAACCATTATCTCTTCCTTCTCTTTCTGGAACAAATCCCACCTGATCTAGATGTATCCACTCTGGCATCAGTTCTTTCAACCTAGTGGTAAGTACTTTCGCAAATAGCTTTGTTTCAATATTTAACAATGATATTAGTCTATAACTAGTGCATTGTGCACTGTCCTTCCCTTCTTTAAGGACAACTGTTATATGTGCATGAAGTGATTCCTTTCTCATTTCCGTCCCCTCTCCTAATTCATTCATATATTTACAAAGTTACGGTACCAGTATTTCCTTACATTTTTTAGAATATCCTACTGTATAACCATAGGGTCCTGGACTCTTTCCTCCCACCACACTCTTCAGGACCTCTCTAATTTCCTCTTGTGATATGATACTCTCCAGGGCTAACAATTTATCTTCTGCTAATCTTAGTAGTTGTGCTTCTTTAAGGAATTCTAACTTTTTCCTATTCTTCTCTTCCTCCCTGATCCTTAGGGTTCACCTCATAAAGCCTACTATAGAACTTTTGGAACATATTAGCTATAACTGTGGTGGAATATACCAGTTCCCCATTCTTGTTCTTAATCTATTCTATATAATTTTTAGATTTCTTCTCCTTCAACTTTTTCATCAGGTATTTCCCTGGCCTATTCCCCCATCTATATCTATCTTTTGAGATGCTGTTGAAGATTCTCCTAGTCTCCTGCTCCATTAAATCTTTTAATTCCTCTCTTTTAAGGGTGATCCTCTGATATACACATCTTCTTCCTGTTTCCTTTTATGATTCTGTTCTAATTTATATAACTCTTCCGTTACCTCCTTTATTTTTCTTGCTTGCTCTCTTTTTTTTTTGTTATCCCCAAAGCTATCAGAATTGCCCTCATATAGGCTTTACGTGTCTCCCAGATAGTGGCCACCTATATTTCTTTTGTTTCATTCAGGGCAAAAAATTCCTCCATTTCTTCTTTTAACCTTCCCTCCACCTTCGGATCCTGCATAAGTGATTCATTTAATCTCCACCTTGCCCTACTATTTTGATCTCCTCCCATCCGCAGACTAACTATAATAGGGGCATGGTCTGATAAAGACCTCACCTTTATATCGGATTTCATTAATGATTCTAATTGTCTGTGCTCAATCAGAATATAATCTAATCGTGAATATGATCTATGCACAGACGAGTAGAAGGTGTATTCCCTCTCTCTAGGATGTTTCACTCTCCATATATCTATTAATTGATTTTGAAATAACCTCTTTTTTAGCGCTCTTAATTTCCTTCCTCCCTCCTTCTGCGTACCAGAGGACGAATCCATCAACGGATCTAGACATAGATTAGATTAAAGTCACCAGCTACAATCAGTCTACCTTTCTGGAAATCCGTTACTTTACCTAGTACGTCCTGCAAAAACATTTCTGGGTTTTATTTGGGCAATATATATTGAACCCCTCTGACCACCCCGCTATTTCAACTACCCCCAATTCCAGTTTTTCACAAAAATCTTTGAGGTCCTCTAGGAATCTGAGCCTGGCCGACTTCCCATCTTTCCATCCAATCAGGCATGCTGGAAACCCCCAGTTATACCAAACATTTTTTTCTTTCATTTGATCCAGCAATGGTTTTAATATCCTCCTTCTAGACAGAGTCACAGAGGCAACATCCGCAAAAACTTGTAACTGTTTCTCCAAATTTTATTTCAGATCTCTCTCGCAATTTTTCCCAAATTTTTTCTCTGTCCTCATAATAATAAAAGCGAACAATCACATCTCTTGGGGATTCCGATGTATTTCCTGGTGGTCGTCTAATTCTATGCACCCTCTCTATTTTCAAGGGATCTGTATCTGATTTTCCAATCAATGTTTAAACACACACCATATTTTTTTCCTCAGGTCTTCTGCTCTTGTAACTTCTGGTATACCCCGAATCCTCAAGTTGTTTCTTCTTTCTCTGTTCTCTTGGTCTTCTAATTTGTATGCTAGATTCCTCTGTTCTCTTTTCATCTCTTTTACTTGTAGTTCCAAATTACCAATCTGCTGGGCCTGAGCTTCCACTTTTCCTTCTACTTCCTCCACCCTTGCTAACATTCATCCCAGATCATTGTGAACTGTCACCATTTCACTTCATTGATACTTCCAATTTTGCAAACATTTCCACCATCTTGGTTTTTATGGGAATTTGGGATAAGACTTCCTGCTGATCCTCCATACTATGTTCTTTTACACTGTCAGTATATAGAGTCTCGTTAACCGAATTTCCATCCTGCATTCCAAATGACAGTCTGGTTTGGTCTTTATCTGATACTCTCCTTCCTACCTGATCTTTCTCAAGCTCTTGTTTCTCTGGACTTTTTTCCAGTATTGGCAGATACTTCTTAATTGTGCTCATATTTAAATTTGACTGTGGGGTTTTCACCCCTCCCCCTTGGCAGATCTACTCCTCATGTTAGTTGGCTAATATAAATAGTCTGCTTATTATTCACAGTGTTCTAACAGAACTCAGGAACACCTCTGTTTAGTCCCGAATCACTTTAAGGGGGGCGTATAAATTTAATACTTCACTTAGTCCCTGAGAGCACCCGCATCCTACTCTTTGGTTCGCAAGTACTCTCCATATGTATTTTCATAATACTTATGTCAGATACTGCACAAATATAGTGGGGAACGTTTTCCTGCTGCTTAACCACGGCAACTCACCACTACCATCTGCGCCTGGTTCACCGTTCCTTGCTTTATTCACTCCTTTCTGACATTCTTGACTCAAAGTCCCATGTATGGTATCATCTGGTAGGGGGACCTCTGCTTTTGAATATTTCCACCAGAAAATACCTGGTCAGCGGGTGCCCTCATGTTTCTCTTTTCCTAATAACAGGTCAGACTCATACTCTCCTCCATAGCAGCTTTCCCCAAAGGTCCTCTTCCAGAAGCAGATGACAGGTGCATTAGATTTACCTGCAGCTTCCAGGAGACACTCCTCACTAATCTCATCCGCAGATCTCAGCCTCGTGTCACCGCCTCTCCCCTCCTCTTTGACAGCTGGCTTCGGTCTGGCTGTGTTCCCCAACCACATGCGATCCAGGCACTACACTCACCCGGATTGGTGGTATACTATCCGGACCGAGTATCGGGACACAGCAGGGCAAGGCTCCACGGGCACCCCCAGCAGCAGAAGCTGTTGGGGAAAGATTCAGAGCGGGGTGAGTGTCAGGCTTCACTTAGCAGCATTCACGCTGTGGGCGTTTGGAGCTCCTTCTCAGAACACATTCAGAGCTCCATGCTCAGGCCCCTCCCCCTTCCTCTGGAGAGTCTGGTATGACGCTGCGTTATTTTAATGAACAATTGCTCCACGGGCACTCCCAGCAGCAGAAGCTGTTGGGGAAAGATTCATAGCAGGGTGAGTGTCAGGCTTCACTTAGCAGCGTTCATGCTTCGGGCGTCTGGAGCTCCTTCTCAGAACACACTCAGGAGCTCCATGCTTATGCCCCTCCCCCTTCCTCTGGATAGTCTGGTACGACGCTGAGTTATTTTAACGAACAATTGTGCGGTCATGCAATGCTGCACCCAAATTAAGTTTATGTCCTTTTTTCCCCACAAATAGAGCTTGCTTTTGGTGGTATTTGATCACCTCAGCAGCTTCTACTATTTGTGCTATAAACAAAAAAGACTGACAATTTTAAAGAAAAAAAATAAAAAATTTTTTTTTTCTGCTATAAAACATATCCAATAAAAAAATCAAAAATTTAGGTCAAAATGTATTGTTACATATGTTTAGGTAAAAAAATCCCAATAATTTTATATTTATTATTTTGAGAAAAAGTTATAGCATCTTTCACTATGGGAAGTGATGTAACGTGTTCTCAGCTCTACAGAGAGAAATGATTCATGACTTCCCCCTGTCAGTGCTATGGCTATGCAAGTGCTTGTGCCAGCGAGCAACTGCTTGCCGTGGCTTGCAGATTGTTTTGTGCGGTTACAGTTCACAGTTGAAGATTTCCTCCAGCAGCACATGCGTGCTCCTATGTGGTGGAAATGCAAAATGGCGTTTCTATACGTTACTTTGCAGAGGAATTCTGTCCTATAGCAGTAAAACTGCTATAGGGGGGAGGGAAAGTGGATAAGGAAGCTTTCACATATACACTTGTATAGTGTAATATATATATATATATATATATATATATATATATATATATAAAAAAGTGTTTCTATGAAGGCATAAGGCATTGAAATTTAAAATGAACACAGTAACATGTGAAATACAGTACATCAGTAAAACAGAACACGGGGGGGGGGGTTATGGCTGTAGAAACTTCTGTGCCAGATCCATGAAAGCCATGCTACAGTTTTCTTGCTATTCCTGTCAGATGTTACCAATTCAGGTAGGTCTTATGTGTGACACTGTACATTATGGTGCTATGGCTATAAAGAATTCATTAGAAAATACTCTCATACTGGAGATAAAAAAAAAAGTAGGAGCAGACAAAATTCTGTCTGAGGCAATTCTAAACATCTTACGGACAGTTACATCAATCTGTCGCACGTTGCGCCATATCTTGCACAGATGAGAGACAGATTGATAAAGAGGCTCTTTATGATCTAGGATTGCCCTAAATACAAAATTATATATGGAGCTTGGTGTACCCATCACCAAAATTAAAAGAAGATTTTTGACAAAGGCTGACCAATATAGTTGAAATTACCGTTCTTGGTTCAAATGCATACAGAGCCCGGAACACTTTGACTTGTCCTAAAAAAAAAAAAAAAAAAAAAAAAAAAAAACTAAGAATTACACGCATATATCTCAATTTCCAAATCACTGTAAAAAAAAAAACACAAAAACATATTTACACTTCTAGTATCACGAAACCCACAAAAAAAAAAAAAAAAAAAAAAAAAAATACAATACCACTATCAATAAATTTATTACATGCTGTTCATGCTCACTCACTATGAGATTTGTTATCTGTATTCTGCAAAAAACCTGGTTGATCCTGCTGTTCTCTATCTGTACCTTCTGTTCATGTCCCCAATTCAGCTAGGTATTTTGCAACTGTAGAGGCAACTCTGCACACTCAGTGTTCAATGACTTTCTACGCTGAGCATTTCCTCCCTATCACACAACATCTGAGCAGCCCATGTGACTATAGAGTCACACATGTGGGTGTATACACAATGGTAAATGACAGCCCACTCCCCTCCCCCCCCATTCAAAATAACCAGCTAAACACAATGGAGGTGGGATACTGCATGTAGATTAATGGAGAAATCACCTTCCTTTTATTCTAAGACACAGGCTGGAGGAGAGTGTCACAACCGGTGACTGGCAGAAATCCACCCTCACAATATTATTTCCACAAATATAATAAACATTGTATTTCAAATATATATTTGTATGCAAATTTAAACATTTTATAAGATTTAAATTACTCTGCATTCCAAAGGCTGTTTTTTCAAATTTTATTTTGAACATGTGACCAGCAGCAGAGGACTAGAAGGTCCTGTTTCCCTGCAAACAGGCTGGGAAAGTGCTGGGTCATGTGACAGCTGTATGTCGATTAGGAAAAAGGTACCTTTTCTTTTTTTATCAAAAAAGTTACAGTGCCATCATCCACTTACAGAAAGAGAAGGGGTAATGTAAATTAAACAGTGTGTGTGTGTGTAGTATCACTTTAAGGCCCTTTTCACATGGGCAATCCGATCAGAACAGCCTGTCAGTTTTTCAGATGGACCAGATCGGAAGGTCCGTGCATTCCTATGGACAGGTGGGTGTCCATTTTCACCCACCTATCTCCAATCCAATTTGGCCCAAAAACGGGGATTCATCCTCTTATGGTTAGGCAGATTGGAGGATAGTTGGGTGTAAATGGACAGTGGAGTCCATTTTTACCCTCCGGTCCATAAAGCAGAATGAGCTCTGTCCATGTCCGCTCTGTATAAACTGGAGTGGAGATGCAAGTGTCATCCATCTGCGCTACTCTGCTCACCAGAGGATCTGTGAGCTGATCCCAAGGTGATCGGAACACACTGTTTGAAACGGGCTCAAGGCTGCATTCACACTTAAGCGTAGCGAATTTGAGCAATTTTCGCATGTTTTCATACAACATTTTTAGGCATTTTTGAGCTATAAATAAGTGCAAAAAAAAAAAAAAAAAAAAAAAGAATACTATGTAATAATAAAATAGAAATTACCCCCAACCTTAACCCCGTAGCCGTAAAAAAAAATTACGTAAAATTATTATAATAAATGGAGCCTAAGAGATATATACTTTACTATTTTGTTTAAAAAACTACAGCTATGTAATCAAATATTTTTCCATATTTGTAATGTCATGCTATTAAAATGTGAAAATAGTAAAACAACGTCAAAACGTGGATAAGCCTTTCACAAACTAAAATAAAAAAGATCCACATATCTAGCGGAACAAAAAACTCTCTTCATCAACATTAACGATATCTAACCCTGATGCTACTAGCCGTAGTAAATAGATAGGAACGTATAAAACTTTTTCCTTGTTTTAATTTATTTATTTATTTTTACATTTCTTCAGTTACTTCCTGTTTTTGGGCCTAGGTCAAAATGATGTCATACATCCCAGGAGTCTTCAGGAGAGGAAGGGTTTTCTGAGCTAAGTACACCCTCCTGCCTACAGGCCTGGCCTAAGGACACATGGACTCTAAAGAGTAAATTCTACATTAATCATCTGCCCTTACTCAAAATGGCCATGGCTAAAAATGGTAGGGGGGCTCAAAGTGATTTCTCAACAAAACAAAGCATGAAGACATGGATAAATAGGTGACTTTGCTTTGAATAATGAAGATCAAATAAATTGCGGTTTCAGTTTGTGGTGCTCAGATACAGTTTAGTTCCACACACGTTTTCCAAACATGGGGAGTGACAACATTTCTCCTTGTTTTGCCCAGATTTGACAATGTAGCATATGCATGGTGAACTTTTCATAACCTATTTCTGTTGGGAAAAGGTTACAATGGCTAGCAAGGTGCAGGGATGTTCCAACTGCTTGTAAATTCTTTGTATCCGAAAACAGGCACCACTTGGCAATGTTATATATATAGAGAGTGAATAAAAGTCCCATTTGAGGGTATCCCGTAGTTCAAAAAATTATTTTCCACCACGTGTATGTAACAGATGAATTTCTCACTCACCAGAAAGTGTTGCCCCCTGTTGGTGGTCAAATAACACTATGGTCAAGCAATATGTAGATTCCCAACTGCAGGCTCTCATGGGATGGATTTACTGATTCCCTTTTTGTTAATGGCTCTCCAAGGAACAGAAGATGTTGACCCACAAATGGGTGGTCACATGACGCTGGGCAATCAAATAGTAAATGGATTCTCAATTCTAGGCTCTTCCCAAGATGAATCTCCAAGTGCCCCTTAAATGAGTTGTGCTCCAGATAGCTCAAATGAAAGGAATAGATTAAAATTGCTCTAAAATGTAGTATTTAATAAGAACCATGGTTCAAAAATTAAATGACAATGCAGTCACACATTCAGGTGCCCAAATCCCAGCACCAGTCTGTGCAGCCTGCATATATCATTGAGCTCACCGAGTATGGCCGGCATGCGCTCCAGGACTCACTGCTAGAGGTCCAGATGTGACGTCATAGGGACCCGGAAGTAATGGGGGTCACGCTTCTACGTACTTTTCACCTGGCAGAGTCGTCAGGAAGTGACATATCGCCATTTCTGGGCTCATTATATACAGATGCAATCATACTGATTGGACGGCTACAGAAAAATGGCCACCCACAATGTTGCATGTTGTTAATTTTTTATCTTTTAACATTTGCACAATTTTTTGCATAGATTAAAATTTTTCCTTTATTATTTGACCTAATACATGTACAGCCTTCGGGGCGATTAGGTCCACTTGTCAATTTTTTGAGGTGAACCTGATTGAAAGCTCCATGTAAAGCCAGCCAAACAAGAAAAAAAAAAAATGAAAAATTTTCAGTTGTTGAATCCTTCATCTTCTCATTATTAAACGTGCCAGCTGCGGCACATGATTTTCATGTCGCATTCAAAAGTGCCCGATCCAACATGGTGGATTTTTATTTTTTTTTCTGAAAAATGAAAAAATAATGGCACAATGGTATGAGCCATTTTCGTTTTTCAATCAATAGAATGTTTGGTTTTCGACTCATCTATGGCCGGCTTTAGTCTGAGCAACCAGAAGTCCCTAAGTTTTGGAAAGACTTTCCTCAGGAAGTGCCTCAAGACTCAAGTAAAACAACCACACCGGCTCCCTTAGGGCTCATGTACACGGGGCGTTTGGAAAACGCTTCTGACCGGTGGAAACTGACTGCTAGAAAACATAGGTTAACCGCCTCCTGCCCGCCATATAAAAAGGTAATGACGGGCGCAAGGCGGTTCTCTCGTTCTGCGAGGATGTCATATGACTTTCTCCCACTCTAACCACGCATGCGCAGCTCCAGGAGCGTGGCGATCGGTGGTGTGCTGTGTCCCTCGGACACAGTGGATCAATGATCAACGGAAAGAGCCGAAGATGTTGGCTCAGTTATGTGATCAGCTGTGTCCAATCACAGCTGATCGCACGTGAATAGGGAAATGCTGGTTATCGGCATTTCTCTCCTCACGAGCTGTCACTCTGACAGCTCGCGAGGAGAGGAGAGCCGGTAATTGGCATTCCCCGGAGGGGACATGTGCACTGATGATCATTGTGCCCTGATGATCAGTGTAGCCCCAGCAGTGCCACCTGCCAGTGCCCATCAGTGCCACATATCAGTGCCCATTGATGCCACATATCAGTGCCCATCTGAGCTGCCTTTCAGTGCCATCTATCAGTGCTGCCAGTCAGTGCCACCTATCAGTGCTGCCAGTCAGTGCCACCTATCAGTGCCATATATGAGTACTGCCTTTCAGTTCCCATCAGTGATGCCTGTCAATGCTCATCAGTGCCACCTACTAGTGCCTCCTCATCAGTGCCCATCGCTGTAGCCTCATTAGCGCACATCAGTGAAGGAGAAAAATCACTTACTAACAAAATTTTATAACAAAAACTAAGAAAAAAAAAGTTTTTTCTCAAAATGTTCAGTTTTTGGTTTGTTTAGCAAAAAATAAAAAACCCAGAGGTGATGAAATACCACCAAAATAAAGCTCTGTCTCAAAAAAATTATAAAAATTTCATATGGGTACAGTGTTGCATGACCACGCAATTGTCATTCAAAGTGTGACAGCGCTGAAAGCTGAAAACTGGCCTGAGCAGGAAGGAGGTATAAGTGCCCTGTAGGCAAGTGGCTAAAAACCGTCAGTTTAGCCACGTTTACGTTTAGAAGCGTTTTTAAAAGAACCTCAGGAGATCCTCCAAAATGCCCGGAATGCTCTGAAAAAATAGTAAATAATTAACTATTTCAGACATTTTGTGAGAAATAAAGAGCAGAAGCAGAGAGAGCAGTATATGTATTGAGATGACCTGTCTTTTCTGGGATCCCATCATGAGCATAATGCAGCACGTTCTACCATTTTTTCCTTCACGTGAAACCGGGAACTGACTGCGCTGGTGTACCGGGTCCATTTGAATACATGGAAAACGTATTGAGATGACCTGTCTTTTCTGGTTGTGTTCACTATGGATCCCATCATGAGCATAATGCGGCATGTTCTACCATTTTGTTTCCTTCACGTGAAACCTGGAACTGATTGCATTGGTGTACCGGGTCCATTTGAATATACGGAAAACGCTTTGCATGCATTTTTGATGAAGAAAAAAGGCTCTGGACAGCATCTGGATATGGACCTGAAAAAAAAACGCATCTAAACACAAGCGCAGGTAACAGCGTTTACAAGCGCTTGGCGTTTGAAATGTCGGTAAAATCTACTCCTGAACACAAGTTTGGTGCGTTCAAGAAAATGACTGTAAACTGAACTGCCTGTAAACAACTATCTGTACATGGACACATAGGAAAACAATGGAGTGTTCAGGGGCTGCTGAAAAAAAAACAAAAAAAAAAAAAAACCGCTCAACAGCTCCTGAACGTCAGTTTAGCAGCTGCAGTGTACATGAACCCTAAGGCTAGGTTTACATATGTGCGGGTGGTGTCACTGCGGATCTGCACAAAAATCCGTGCAGCCGCACCACCCACATAGAAGAATGCGGACCCATGGGCGGCTGCCATTAATTCTAATGGCACGCCGCCCGCACTGGAAATCGCAACCGCACTGGGAACCGAGGTTCCCGTGTGGGCTTCAGTTTCCAAAGAAGTGCAGAGACTTCTTCCCTGCGTGTCCCGGGGCACGGGAGTCCATTCAAATGGACAAAACGAGGCCCGCAGGAACGCACATATGTGTACCAGGGCTAAAATTAAAAAAGCAAATAAAATACATAAATTGCAACTCTTTTCTTGAAGAAAAGAGACTAATCTGAATAATCTGGCTGCAAGAGACTCTAAAACTGCTAACTGACCTTTCTGACTGAAATATTATTATTATTATACAGGAATAATATAGCACCAACAGTTTGCTCAGCGCTTTACAATACAAAGGGAGACAATACAGCAACAATACAGTTCAATACAAGAGGGATAGGAGGACCCTGCTCCTTGGAGCTTACAATCTAGGAGGGAGGGGCTAGTGGTACAAAAGGTAATAACTGTGGGGGATGGACTGGTAGAAGGAGTAGAAGATTCCATTATTAGCTGAGGGCAGGATAGGTTTCCTTGAAGAGATAGGTTTTCAGAGATCGCCTAAAAGTGAGCAGAGTAGACGATAGTCTGATAAATTGGGGTAGAGAGTTCCAGAGGATGAAGGAAGCTCTGGAGAAGTCCTGGAGACGAGCATGGGAGGAGGAGACAAGGGAGCTAGAGAGTAGGAGGTCTTGCGAGGAGCGGAGAGTATGGGTTGGGTGATATTTAGAGACGGTGATGTAATTTGGGGCAGAGTTATAAATGGCTTTATACGTTATTATTAGCGTTTGAATTTTATCCTTTGGGCAATGGGAAGCCAGTGGAGGGATTGGCAGAGAGGGGTGGGAGATACAGAACGGTTAGTAAGGTGGATGAGTCTGGCAGCAGCATTCATGATCGACTGAAGAGGGGATAGCCAGCGATTAGGAAGGCCAATGAGGAGGGAGTTACACTAGTCAAGGTGAGATAACAAGGGAGTGAATAAGTTGCTTAGTGGTTTCAGAGGTTGGGAACGGGCGTATCTTGGAGATGTTGCGGAGGTGAAGTCTACAAGATTTGGACAGTAATTGGATTTGGGGCTGAAAGGACAGATGGGAGTCTAGGAGTACACCTAGTACTCTGGCATGAGGGGAGGGATTGATGGTTGTATTATTGATCTTGATGGAGAAGTCAGGGGAGGGGGCACGGGCTTGAGGGAATACTAATGCCCCGTATACACTATAAGAAAATTGTACGAAAATTTTTGTACGAGGACCGATCATCCGATAATCGTATCATTAGTACACAGCTTTCGAGAGCCGATCACGACAATTCGTACAACAATATCCGAAGGGACAAGCGCAAAAATTTCTCTTGTATGATACCAGATCATACGATTTTCGTTTAATCAGTACAGAAGTCGTCTGAAAATACAATACAAATACAACGCAATACATGACATCACTTTCAAAATTCTTTTCCTTCATAGGAGAATTTTCGTATCTTTAGTAACCTTTTCACTTTTGTTGTGAGACTAGGAGGCGAAAAAAAACGGCCGATCATTCGTCTGATATTCTCATCGTGTGTACGGGGCATTAGAGCTCAGTTTTGGAAAGATTGAAATGCAGCAGAAAAAGTGTTCTGGGTATCACTACAACCAAAAAGAAGTGCAATAAATACAACACTCTGTGTAAGTACAATACAGCTTAATTGCAGATGAAATGTTCGTTAGTGTGCAGCTCTGCCTTCCGTGTGTCGGATCATTTTTGGCCACAAAGTGATGTAAGAATAAGTCATGACAGGAAATAAAACGTGTTGAAACATCTTTCCCGCACTCAAGGCCAGTCCCACCCCATATTCATTACAAGCTCAAGCCTAACGACTTCAAATAGGCCTGTATTACATGACATGATACAGACACAATCCTTCCACACGGATATTTTTATCTTCCATTTACCAGGCTGACCAGCAGTAATGTGTATCTATCATTAAATGCAATCAGGAAGTAACATTTGGAACAGGAAATCACTTGTTACACACCAGTAATTCATTAGAAAAGAAGCTAATCAAACCAGGAAACATTAGATTGTGGAATCACAGTGGAGATTGAACCCCTTTATCAGTAGGCACAGCCTACATGAGAACGGCAAATAAAAAGGAAAAAGCCACATTCTGAATCCTTAGTCCTCATGCTCACTGGACATTTTTTACAGCGGCTGTTTTTGGCGTTTTTTTCTACAGCTAGTAAACCCCCCAGCATGTTATCCTATGTGTCCATACACACAGACTGGAATTAACGTTTTTTGGCAGGGACGATTTTTGGGTGGAAAAAAAAAAAAAAAAAAAAAAAAAACCCAGGACTAGTGGGTTTCTAGAGGAGTTTTTTAGCTGTAAAAACGCTCTAATACTGAAAAACACGGCAAAAGGCTGCAAACCGGCATTTGTGGGACTTTTTTTGACAAAAGAAAAATTTTTTTTGGGGGGAGAAAAAAAAAAGCGCTAAATGCAAAAATGATCAAAAAAAACGTGACTTTACACAGCTAACGTTACCAGTGTTATCCAAACACCCAGTGTGCATGAAGCCTTAAAGTGTTACTAAATCCACAACAGTAAAATCAGTCTGTATATGCAGTAAAGCAGGCTTGTTAAACTCACTGTGGAACCTAAGGGGTTAATCCTCTGCATTGTGTAAAAAGGCTGTTTGATCCTGTCTTCTCTGATCATCCCCTTCTTCTACTGTCCACAATCCATCTGCTTATAGTACAGAGCTCTAGGAGTCACTATGCACATGCTCAGTTTAGTGTGTATTGCTAGGGGTTTTTTTTTTTTTTCTTCTTCTTCAGGAGGGTGCATCTGATTAGCACAGGACCAATCAGCACTGTCCAGACAGAGGGTCAAGGGGTCATGCAGCCTCGTATGACAGTCAGAGGAGAATTAAAACTCCTCCTACAAGCTTTAACTAGTGCTCAGCTGCATACTAATAGAACTCACAAGACTGCTATATACTGGTGATGAGAAAAAGGTATTTAGCAAATTATATTTACTACAATAATTGCATTTCTATGTTCTGTGTACTGTGGGAAACGGATATAGTGAATGCAGTGTCCTGGGTTTAGTAACACTTACATTTGTTGCCGACTATGTATCACATATGTGTAGCATCCAATGTGTTGAGGTGGGAGCACAAACGTTGAGCTGTCAACAGACAGGCGTGGGAGCGCACCGATGGAGCCGTCAACAGACAGGCGTGGGAGCGCACCGATGGAGCCGTCAACAGACAGGCGTGGGAGCGCACCGATGGAGCCCGTCAACAGACAGGCGTGGGAGCGCACCGATGGAGCCGTCAACAGACAGGCGTGGGAGCGCACCGATGGAGCCGTCAACAGACAGGCGTGGGAGCGCACCGATGGAGCCGTCAACAGACAGGCGTGGGAGCGCACCGATGGAGCCGTCAACAGACAGGCGTGGGAGCGCACCGATGGAGCCGTCAACAGACAGGCGTGGGAGCGCACCGATGGAGCCGTCAACAGACAGGCGTGGGAGCGCACCGATGGAGCCGTCAACAGACAGGCGTGGGAGCGCACCGATGGAGCCGTCAACAGACAGGCGTGGGAGCGCACCGATGGAGCCGTCAACAGACAGGCGTGGGAGCGCACCGATGGAGCCGTCAACAGACAGGCGTGGGAGCGCACCGATGGAGCCGTCAACAGACAGGCGTGGGAGCGCACCGATGGAGCCGTCAACAGACAGGCGTGGGAGCGCACCGATGGAGCCGTCAACAGACAGGCGTGGGAGCGCACCGATGGAGCCGTCAACAGACAGGCGTGGGAGCGCACCGATGGAGCCGTCAACAGACAGGCGTGGGAGCGCACCGATGGAGCCGTCAACAGACAGGCGTGGGAGCGCACCGATGGAGCCGTCAACAGACAGGCGGGAGCGCACCGATGGAGCCGTCAACAGACAGGCGTGGGAGCGCACCGATGGAGCCGTCAACAGACAGGCGTGGGAGCGCACCGATGGAGCCGTCAACAGACAGGCGTGGGAGCGCACCGATGGAGCCGTCAACAGACAGGCGTGGGAGCGCACCGATGGAGCCGTCAACAGACAGGCGTGGGAGCGCACCGATGGAGCCGTCAACAGACAGGCGTGGGAGCGCACCGATGGAGCTGTCAATCTGAACGATCCCCAGGAGCTTATTCATAGAGGGTGTGGTCAGGTGGACAGATAGCCTTCATACCAACCTTTTATCATGGGGCTGGAGGAAGTTGCGAAAGGGACTACAACTGTGATGTCACCACCCTGGAGCCGGCACACATAACAAACATTTAAAAAACCAAGTATAAACATTAGCCTCACTCATGCTTTTTCAACCACTACAAACTACAATATAGAAAGTAAAAGATTACACTATCTATAGTCAATTGAGCCTGGGTTCACACTGATGCGGAGCCAAATTTGCAGCGGTTTCTGTGTGAATTCCACAGCACAGCATTCCAAAGCATCACAATCGCACCCGGCTCACTTCCCATGGAGGCACTGGATAGAGAGGAGGAGCTAGAAGGGCCAATGGCGGACCCAAGAAAAAGGAGGTTTGGGGCTGCTCTGTGCAATACCATTGTACAGAGCAGGTAAATACACAGATTTTTTTTTT